CTGTATGGCCAATACATCCTTAAGCCTCCTCTACTCGAGCGACAACTAAAGTAACACAGGCCTTTAAAAAAAAAAGAAGAGAGAACGACGGCGTGCGGTTCGAATGTTTAATTCCATTTATGATATACGAGCCTGTGTTTTCCCCTCCAAATAATATACAAAGTACGAATCGACTCATAATTATTCTCGCTTGGTACGCGATGAAAATGATTATGTTGCATCGGAAAGGCTGTTACTTCGTTTTCTTCTTCTTTTTTTAACCGAGAAATGCAAAGTAATTGTTAGTGTGAAAAAGAGAAGATAAAGAGAGAAAAGAACGTGTTGAATACAAAACAGCTTTCATAGCAGTTTAGCGCGTACAATTAAATCCAAGTATGGGATTCCGATTAAGCCATTAACGGCCGTGGCCACCTCGGAATGCTCTACTCGTATGCATAATATTTTACAATTATTAAAAAAGAAATCAATTAGAAATCATGGTAAAATCCGCGTAACGATCACTCTCTATGCACGTGTGCCGTTCGCATAAATTATTAAGTAGTACTCTCGTGTTTGAGGCAACGTCGGCGCACGGTTCTCGAATCGAACAGAATGGCAGACTCATTCTACGGGACAGTCGTCCCGTCAAAGCTCTTTCAACAGAGTCGATTTCGCGTTTTTTAATTTATCCAGTCGCCTCTGTAGATGAGAATTCGCCGTCTCCAATTCCTCGACTCTGCCCTGAGTCTCCCTGACCTGTAACCCCGGAGTCTCGAATTAACAAGAAAATTTTAAATCGATCAATTTCATAAATCGTCTTTGCTCACTTCTCTTTGTAATTTTCTCTTTTCGACTTTTAATTCGTCCTCCGCCTTCTCGGACGCTTCCGCCGCGGACTTGTAACGTATCACCTGGCTCTCTAACCTGGCGACCGTCGCCTGTAACGTGGACATGTCCTGTTCAGCTTTCTGTAGCTTGAACTTGTAGTCCGCCAGCAGCTTGTTTGCTTCTCGCTGCACGTCCTCGGAGTCTGACAAACAACCTGCCGAGTCGAGGAACCTTAGCGTAATATAATTGTTGAAGAAACGAGTACGTCGTAAGGGGAATATGAACCTAATACTGAACCAGGCGATCTCTCGGACCTAATGCGATTTCGCGTCTCCTCCAACTCCAATCCCAGATGCCGTATCTCGTCTTGCAACTCTTTCTTCTCAGACGCGAACTTTCTCAGCCGGACGTCTGGAATTTTTTATGTCACATCTTTTGTTTATTATTAAAAAAGATATATAGTTGTATACCTAGCGAACCCTGTCCAGCGTTTTGCAGCAGTTCTGCTGCTTCCGTGCTGACTAGTACTCTTCGTCTCGGACGCGGCCCATTCTCTATCTCGTTATCCTCGTTCTCGCTTCCTTCATCCTCGACAATTACTAAACCATTTTCCTGTAAAATATTTCCATCCGTTTGACATTAAGTCTCGACCGAACGAAAGACGGTGTTACTCACTTGTATAAGCGTATCTCTTTCTTCTAGTTGTGCATGGCATACTTCCAGCTCGTCTTTCAATCTCTGACTGAGTCTCTTCAACTGATCCGACTCCCGATTCTTCTCCCTGAGTTCCCTACGAAGTTGTGCAACCGTCTCCTCCAACTCCTCCAGCTTGTCTTTCAATAAATCGACTTGGTAAGCATACGAAGACTTTTCATTGTCTAACTGAGCGTTGGCTATCATCGCCTTCCTGAACTTCTCCTCGAATTCTTTCAACTCTAACTGAAAACAGAATTCGAACAAGTTGTTTAATGCGTTCAGTCTACGATCGCGAAATTAATCATTGTACCCTGAGATCTCTGCTTAGGCCAGCGTCCTCCAACGAGTCCTCGGACGATCTGCGACTGGACTGGAAGTTGTTGGAGTTGGTGAGAAGGCGCGAGGCCCTCACGGAGTCAGGTGTAACTCTCATACTTCTGTTCACGTCGGCTGCAATTGAAACGATGTAAATTCGTTTGAAAATCATTGACACACCGAGAATACATACTTGAACACATGTCGTACACCCTATCCGCATTCTCTTCCGCCTCCTTCTGCTGTCTCTCTAATTCTCGCATCCGTATTTCTCTAGCTTCGGCTCTCGCTTGTCTCCTGGCGGCTAATCTAGCTTCTGCCTGAAAGTACGCACGGAAAATCCGTCCTGTTACCAAAAACATAGTTTCATATTCAATTTATCTTTACCATACCGACGTGCTGAACAAAGAAAAGCTTTTATATACGTGCTAAACGAACGATACTCACGTCGCACCGATGATCTAATTAAATACAATGACTTAAAGTGTTTACACCGTGTCTCACCTATTTGATAATTGTCTCTACACAGCCTGGATCGAAGATAAACTTATCGGACAAGATATAAATCCCCCCCTGACGCAGCGCACATACGTTACAAAGCACACAAGGTCAAGCATACAGTATAGCAACACAATGGCTTTTCAACTGGCGAACATCAAGTCAGAACTTTCGTGTGTCATTCTTAGAAAGTAAGGCCCCATACCTCCTTGGCAATCTGATCAAGAGCCTGATCCTCTGCAGAATGTCTCGCAGTAGTTCTCCTACGTCCGGCAATAGCAGACTCCATCTCCGTTGCTCCGTTCTCAAATATCTTTGCCTGGGCTCGATGATCAAGAATCGATTGCTAGCCCGTTCCTTCACCGCGGGAGAAGGCAAACCACCACACTAAAGGACAAAGGGACAATACGCTAGAGCCGGATGATCTGAAGCGTGATCGATTATTAAGTATGCTCGATGAATCCGTTTGGACGTGGCGTACAAATGAACAATGGTATTGGCAGAACGAAGCGGGTAACATTGCAAGCCGAACGTCGAACGTACTGACACCGTGTCCGCTGATACCAACGGGCAATTTAGCATCGGCGATAATCGTGCATTATGCAAAACGATTTTTACACATGGACATTATCGGTAATCGTTGGGTATAGAACGAAATAGCGGACCGATTATATCGGCGTACTTTTTCCAGGTTGACAATAGGCCGGCGGCGACACCGTTCGAAATAGAACGGTGGAAAAAGAATCTGGCACAGGTAAAAACAGTGTTTCTACGGATCGTAGCGTTACGACGTTTTCACTCTAAGAATAAACGCGTATTCCCGCGGTCTAATTGTGTATTTGTATGGATCACTGTCGCCGCACGATGAACCGTCAAACCGTGGATAAAATCCACGAATTTAGAATCGCCTAGCGAAATAAAGGGATCCGTACGTTCGATACACATATACGTATATATTTAATGGACTCGCACACCCACACGTCACGTCAGGCCCGAATACATGCAAATAAGACCTTACTGTGGTCGTCGGATCCTCCGTCTTTCTCTAGCTCCGTATCTCGCTCACTCTCTCGCTCTTTTTCATTTCTTTTTTTTTTTCTTCAAACCCGACGACGGAAGAAAACTCAGATATCCGACGATGGTTAAAGGGACTTACGATGCGAGGATGGAAAACGCTGTCACCCAGTGGACAGGCTCATCTTTTTCTCAAACGCACCGCATGCAAAAATAAACCGTAGGACACACTATAAATACAATCAATGGGAATCGGATCGCCACGATGACCATCTGCGGCCAGGGAATTAACGTCGAGATGCGGTTTCCGTTCGCTCGATCCACGGTTACATATAGGACGTTATGTAGATCCCGGAGATACTTGAAGAGTCCGAATCACGCCCGCGCGAATTCTTCCGGCCGTCCTACAGCAGCCGCGAAAAAACAGTGCGCGAAGTCGCACTTAAATATAGCGGAAGACACATTTTTCGATCGAACGGCCCTGCGGACGGTGACGGTGATGCATGCGAATGCAAAAGCCACACTGGCTCTTCTCTTCGCCTCCGGCCTCGATCGAAATTCAAGAGTCATCTGTGCGTCCCCCGTCCAAGATCGTGCCAGCTAGATTGGTATTACAGTCATCCGCGAATCGTTATCGTCCACATCGTACCTCCACCGGATTTATCATTTTCAAATTGCATATCAAAAGCCTAATAAATAAACGCACCGATAGATCCGTTCGTTGATGTAGGAAAATGAAACAGCAGCAAACATTGTTTCATTTAATAGTATCGATACGCTTATAGATTAAATGATGATCAATTCGACGGATTCATTTATTGACTTATCAATCGACTGATTGCGATAAATGATTAAAACTCTATGAGATTGAAGCCGGAGAGGATTTTTTTCTATACCGTGTGTCGTCGATGCTCGTCGATGGTTGATACACACGGCCTACGAATTTTAACTTAACCCCGTAACGGTCGTAAGCTGCGATGTGGCATCTGGCGCTTTAGCATATTGCCGTTTGGAATCGATGCTCGTCGCGTGATCGCGACCCGTAACAGTAAAACTCGATGGACATGTGTGCGCGGATAAAAGAAAAATGAGAGTGCCGTTGTTACTTATCATCGGGGTTTTCTACACCCTCGACGTGAGCGGAGTAAACGCATGGGACAATGACGAATTGGAAGTGTTCGACGTCGTCGAGGAAGTAAATCAGAACTTCTACGAGGTCCTCGGTGTATCGCAGGTTCGCCTCTCCCGACGGTTTTGTTCCCCCGTGTTTAAACGAAAACGAATTAACGGATCGATTTTGTAGGCTGCGAATGCCTCGGAGATTAAGAAAGCGTTCAGGCGATTGTCCCTGCTGTTACATCCGGACAAAAATCCTGCAGAGGATGCCGAGCAACAGTTCAGGAAAGTGAGTAACCATCCGACGTAGGAGGATCCGTGGACACTGATAGATTATATTTTCAGTTGGTCGCCGTTTACGATGTATTAAAAGATCAAAATAAAAGACAGAGATACGACAATGTGCTCGTCAACGGGCTGCCGAACTGGCGCTCGGCTGTATATTATTACCGCCACGTGCGGAAAATGGGGCTCTTAGAATTAGGAATAATTTTATTTTTACTCATCACCGTCGGACAGTACGTGATAGCATGGGCGGCATACTTCGAAAAAAGATATACATACGTACGTAGAGAAAATGATACACGAGGACGGACAATATCTTAATGACACGTTTCTGTAGGAACAAGTTTTGGGTAGTAGGCTTCAGAAAATGCAGAAGAAAAAGAAAGGGAAGATGGATGTACCGGACCTGGCAGATATCTTGGAAAAAATTCCTACGCCGTCCATTTGGAACACTCTTCCGTTTCAATTTCCAAGATGGGTAATATCGTTTACATTGTCGATACCAGAAGTTATTCGATTGATACACGGCGCGTTCGAGGAGAGAAAACGTAGGAAGAAGCAGGAGGAGGAAGAGGCATTGTGAGTGGAGAACAAAACGGATAGTCTATCGCTGTTCGGATACGTTTAGAATTTTTTTTTAGAGCGCAAGAGAACGAGCAACCGGAACCGGAACCAGTTGTACCTACTCGCGTGAGAAGACGGAGGACCGGGTTCACTCCGCAAGAGAGAAGCGGGAACGGAGTGAAGGAATCGTCTAAAAAAGATCAAACGAATCACGTCGATCAGAAATCTCCCGTCTCGGGTGGTGGTTTGTGGACCGATGACGATATTTTAGAGTTAATAAAACTAGTGAAGAAGTACCCTAGCGGTACGAGCGAGAGATGGGAGAAAATTGCAGACGCGATGAATCGCACGGTGATGGAAGTTACGCATATGGCGAAGAAGGTAGTTGAATTTGTTCGCGTTTTGATTGATTATCATTAATGAACGATGATCGTTGATAGATAAAAGATGAAGGCTTGAAGCCTGGTACTACTGAACAGACCGTGGTCGAAGAACGTCCAAAGAAGACTAAGACGAGGGCGGAGAACGTGGATAACATTACCGAGTGGAGCCAGGAGCAGCAAAGAGCTTTGGAAGCCGCGCTTATAAAGTATCCTAAGGGTACGTCGGTGGATAGGTGGGAGAAAATAGCGAATTGCGTTGAGGGAAAGAACAAGGTACGGTATTGTGGCATGTCCGTTCTGTCTCGTTTGTGACACGATTCATGATTTTGAAGGATGAATGCCAGGCGAGGTACAGACAATTGGTGGAGATAGTGAAAAAGAAACAGCACACTCAATAGCCTGCCAAGTACAAGATGTTCCTCTGTACAGTCCGATGTGAGCAAGTCCAAAAGGAGATAGATGCATAATATCATGGCTGTTGTACAACGTTTACAAAGTGAACTAACAAATTTTTCTTAAAGGTACTCTTATACAAAGATTACGTACGAACGAGTTGAGAGAGAGAGAGACAGAAAGAGAGAGAGAGAGTGAGAAAAGTAAACTTTATACACACGAGAAAGAATTACTCCTACATCATTTTATTATTAAATGTTCGTGGAGGATGTATTTATTTAATAAATTTAATAATTAACCCAGAGAACAAGACTGACAAGGTATAAGTAATTAAACACTATCCTGTTCACTGAGACTGATACTCTGTATCGTGTAAAAAGTAATCGATATACCAAAGTGTATAACACTTAAAAATTCACTTGATGTCAAACCGACTTGAACTGATATTCAGATAATTTTCCGAAGGGAATTCAATGAATGAATGTTCGAATGTATAGATATATATATATGTTTATTCGCGATAGCGTTTAAATAGTGACTCTGTACAAAATACTATTTACAAATTGTATAATAAACGTCTTAATTACGCCTCCTTCGAACCCTTGATATTCGCCAAGCGTTCGGCTCTTCGTACTTGTTATAAAGCGGTTCGAGTCGTTGATTCTTCTTAAATTTACTCAGCTTGGTCGGATCGCTGAACTTGAAGAACGCCGGGGCAAATTCCACTAACCATTTCGGATCGATCGTAGTCACTTCCCTCATGTATTCTTTCGTCGTCTGAACCAATTCATGATAGATGACCTATAGAAAAATTAAATAGCTTGCATTGTACGAACGTTTTCATAATAGCATACTTCGAAACATATATTTTACTTACCCATTCGGGTTGCCTGTTGAACAAAGCGCTACTGGGATGAATGTAGACAACCTGACTGTCTACCAAAGTCCTGTAACCCTCTTGAGGATCCTTCTTCGCGGCGTTTCTGAAGAAACCCGAGCAAACAGCTTTCTGAATTCGCACGGTGTTCTTGCCAGCGGACACCACGTCCAATTTGTGTCTGTCCATTATTCCCAACAATTGTTTACGAACATCCTGAGCTCGTTTCAGTGTTCTGATCTGCACGAAATTCTCGTAGCACCACGCATTGCTAAACTTATTATTTCTCCACGAGTTGTAAACGGCCAGCAGAGTTAAATGATCTCCCTCAGGCTGATTGAATTTGGCTTTCTTTTGATCCGCCAAGGCCTGTTTGTCTTTCGGTCTGAAGAAAAATTAAATAAAATAAAAATACGTAATTCATTTTCTCGGATCCGTGTATTCGATTCTTACCTGTAGAAGACGTTCTGAACTGACAGCATGCTAACGATGGTCAGTATCTCGTCGGAACATTGAAGGTGTACACTCATGATGAGCATTTTAGATAAATTAGGCTCCAGAGGGAACTCTGCCATCCTCCTACCCAATCTAGTCAGCAAACCCTCGTTATCCAACGCGCTTAAACTGTGCAGAGACTCCAGAGCCATGATCAAAGATTCCACAGGCGGAGCGTCCATGAAATCGAAGTGCAATAAATCGTTAATGCCCATAGTTTTCAATTGCAACACAGTAGTTGCTAGATTTGTACGTTGGATCTCCGGTACTGGCGTCGGAAGCATTTCATCTCTGTACGCTCTCTCTGTATAAAGTCTGTAACACTTGCCAGGGCCAGTGCGGCCAGCTCTGCCCGATCTTTGTTTCGCAGCTGCTTGGCTAATCGGCGTCACGATAAGACTGTCCATTCCCGTTTTCGAATTATACACTTTCTGTTTAACGAATCCCGGATCGACCACGTAATAAATTCCATCGATGGTCAAACTAGTTTCGGCTATATTAGTGGCTATTACTACTTTTCTGGAGCCAGGAGGTGCAGGCTCGAATATTCTAGTTTGCATCTCGGAAGGCAGGGCAGAGTATACAGGGAGAATAATTAATTCGGGTACGTCGGGTCCTAGAGACTTCATACGTTCGTACAATATTTCGCAGGCCGTGTCGATTTCTTCCTGACCAGTTAAAAAGAGAAGTATATCTCCTGGTGGTTCTCTTAAATGTATCTGCATCACCGTGATCAGTGCCGCGTCTAAGTAATCTGTCTCCGGTTCTTTCGTGTACATCACTTCGACCTCGAACGTTCTTCCGGGAATCGTGAAGATAGGCGCTTCGAAGAAGTACTGAGAAAATTTGACCGCATCCAAAGTAGCACTGGTTACGATCAACTTTAAGTCTGGCCTCCGTCCTACGGCTTGCTTTAATAATCCGAACAGAACATCCGTGTGAATAGTACGTTCATGCGCTTCGTCCAACATAATCACGGAATACGTTTTCAAATCGAGATCCATCAAACATTCTCGTAGCAGCATACCGTCCGTCATGTATTTTATATTAGTTTCCGGGCCCGTACAATCCTCGAAACGGATCGTGTAACCGACCTCCTGACCCAAACGACAACCAAACTCTTCTGCTACTCGTTTAGCAACAGACATCGCGGCTACTCTCCTCGGTTGGGTGCAGCCGATCTTTCCGCGAGCTGTGAATCCTGCCTCGGCTAGATACTGCGTGATCTGCGTAGTTTTTCCAGAGCCGGTCTCTCCGATTACAATTAGAATTTGATTATCGGTCACGGCCTTGACTAGATCGTCTCGGAGTTTGTATATTGGCAAACTCTGACGCTGCTCGAGGAGAGTCAAATTCGTTTTCTTTCCAAACGATGATTTCTTTCCTCCTATCACGTGCTTCTTCCATTCAGGTAAATCTTGAGTCTGGAGTCCAATGCCACGCATGTTCGCAGCTAGAGTTCTGCTTTCAGCTTCTGGCAAAGGATCGATCCAATTTTTATTCAATCCTGTAGGAACAGAATCCATCTCTTGTTCCCTCTGTAACATCTTCTGTTCCCTTCTTTCTTTCGCCAAAGCGCTTTGCATCATCGCGGCTTGCGCCAACGAACCGTCAGGATTTTTTACTATGCGAACCGGACTCAGGTCGCCCAGAGCTCGACCGTGTCCATGCAGAAACGGTGGTTCCTCTTCCACTAATTCTATCTCAACGTCCTCCTCTTCGTCATCTTCGCGCGGCAGAATTCCCGTTTCCATGTCGAATTCAGGTAGTTCGCTTCTGTCGATGCACGAAGCGGCGAGCATCTGTTTGATCTCCCATTTCTCTGGAGACGACAATCTCTGTACACGTTTCCTCGAATATGTTTCATCTTCGTCCCAATTGCCTTGAAGTTCTAACAACGAAGTAGGCCTGTCTGGATTTCTTAAATGCTTCTCGTCTTCCTCAGTCTTTGTAACAGCCACCACAGGATTCAGATCTGTGCCTGTTTCTTGATCGACATCTTTCATGCTCAGGGAAACCTTCTGTCCACCGATATTGAGAACCTTTACGAGTACTTTCTGTCCTCTGGACACGACGTCGCTCGCACTGGCGACTCTTCCCTCTCTCCTCAATTGAGAAATATGAACGAGTCCTTCCCATCTTCGTTTCAAGCCTTCCAACTGAACGAAACAACCGAATGGTACGATATTCGCGACCTTCCCTGGATAAATCTTTCCTACTTCTGGGTCCATCGAAAGCTCCTCCGCGGATCGCGATCTAGACCGTTCGGATCTAGAATATTTATCCCTGTGAGATTTTCTATCGCGCGATCTCGATCTCCTACGATCGCGAGATCTGTGCCGTCTTCTGTCCCTGGATCTAGATCGGTCCCGTGATCTCGAACGAGATCTGTGTCGTCTGTCTTTGCGATTAGACGAACGTGATCTGTGCCTTCTCCTTTCTTTCGATCTGCTTCTTCTGCTCTTTCTGTCATCGGAGTGTCTGCTCTTTTTATCAATGCTCTCTGAAGGTTTACTCTCTTCTTTCACACCTTGCTTGGACGGTGCTAGTTCTTCCAAACTTGCCATCACATTGTTCACTATGTCATCGTCTTTCAGTTCTTTGGTCTCTGCCAGCTTTGGACCATCGTTTGGCATAGCCAGAGCAGGGAATTTCTGAGCCAGTTCGTCTTGTTTAGCCGTAGTCTTGTCTGTTCTCTCGTGTGACTTGGAAGGTTTCATGTGCTGTATTATCCTGAGTAAATTAGCCATGAAGGATTCCTAAACAGAAAATGAAATACTAAATGCAAGCACTGGACAAGGCACAGGGAAAGTAAAATTGAAACACTTACCGAAAATTCTGCCCCATTTTCGAGGAGTACTTTCTTGAACTTATCGAAGGTGTTATTCGCTTCCGCCAAGTGAATTATGAATTCAGCTATTTAAAACGCGAAGAAAGGTGTTAGTAGCTGATCGAAATGTTGGACAACAAAGGGGAATAGGTTATGGATTCTTTCCATATCCTTTTCACAGTTTAAAATCAAATTGCCTTACCTAAATCTTTGTCGTTTAGTCCTAAATGATTCTCTAATTCCGTACATATTTTTGAAACGAGCGAAAGGTGCTCTAATTTTTCAACTTCGTCCATTTTTCATACAATTAACACTCTTAGGAACGGAAGCCTAAGGTGTACACTATGAAACTGAAATATCGGTCGAGCAAAGGAGAATGTAGTTCGAATTCCAGCTACAAACAAGCTGTAACCTTTTTACTTTTAATCGATAATGTTGGAAACATTCAAATATTAAGAGGAATTGTCATATTCTACGTTAACGACGATTTTAAATCGCAAACATCAATTTCTATCATCGATCGACGTATCGAGCGCGGTTTGAATTCGCGCGTCCAATCTATACTTAACTGTGATTGGTCCGCTGTTTCCGTGCAGTGCGGCGCAGTGATGTAAGATTTGCGGAATTTCGATCGCCGCGCGTACGGTGAGGAAAAGTGGAACTAAAAGTCTTGATGTAAGATTTTGCGGATTTTTCCGCCCATAGCGTAGACCCAGTCTAGCATGCTGTTATGTCTTAGCTTTAAAGTTTGAACCTAGCCGCGCGCGTAATTTGAACGACGTACCACTACACGCGTAATTTTTCCGTATACGTGTATCAGGTAGACGGCAAGACCCAAACTGCAGACCTGCCCTTTAAATGCTCGTGTCTCGTGGATCCTTCGATGACCAGCAAACGCTTTCGCCTCAGCTCCTTCGTTTTCGCGTAAAGGGCTGCAAACGAGTCACGCTCAGCGATTGCACGTGCATATATAATTTTTTTTTAACAGCCATAAACATTTCAATGAATTTAACGAGATAACTGTATGTACTTTATATAATAACAATAATGAAAGTTGAATAATTAGTATGAAAAAATAATCTTATA